CGACTGATTGAATTTGACTTGCGTAACTTCACTGACTGTGAGAGACCAAGATCGCATATCAATGCTTGTATCTTACGCGTATTGCCATGAGCATGCATAACAATGTTTCCGCCATGAAGATTACAGTGCACTAATCCCGCATAATGAATAATACGCAGATAATATGCAATATCATTCAAATGCCGTAATTTATCCAACCACGTCAATTTGTTAATATTTTGAACCAAATAAGACAAAAGACTGCCATTGTTAGCATATTGCATGACAGTCATGTACTCTTTTGTCTCTGGATTTTGTATGACTCCATAAATTCTAAGAAAGAAATTATTTCGATTCGGGTTTATGCACTTGGCATGGTTCCTGAACTATTAAACGAATAATTAATAGAGTCAGCTTAGATATTACTTCACTTTAATTAATACTACCGATCATTGCTTACCTCGGAAATAAATAATTCCGGCATTTCATCAAAATTTTTAAATCGTTTGAGTACAACAGTTTGCTGCATAAACGGTACTTCTGAATAATTTCTATATTTGGCAGTATAAACTGTTCCGTAACCACCAGATCCAATCTCTTTGAATTCATAAAAGTCGTTATACTGCATGTATCTAACATGATCGTTGTTTCGTATGAAACTGTTCAGTATCGCATGTATTTCATAATAGAAAACTAAATAATATTCCCGCGTAGATGGCTTCTGAGTGATTCCAATTATCCAAATATTCTCAGGTGTTAATATTGTCGGGTATTCTTTGGTTAACTAATTTTGAGTAAATTTATAACACTGGTTAATTTAAATGCATGATACGCACTTATCGATTGCATTTGTTTACACGTGAAATAATTTACCTGATGAAAATCAAACGACTGATCGTCTTGTTTGCCAACTATTTTTTTGAGTGTTACACGGGTCAATTCATTCCATTCTGCTATATGCGTGCATCCATGACGTAATGGCGTCATCTCTTGTAAGTTTGTTAATAGAGAATATTCTATCCATTGTATATACGCATCACACTTATTCTTTGTATTTCTCCACGATTCCATAATAAATGAATCCAACGTATTGTTATCCGTAGTAGTAGTCCAGTCAAGAGGTCGTGGTGCTTTACAATGATAGCAGAATGCACTTATATGACGTTTATACTTGGCTGTACATGCCAGACATAATCCACACCCCTCCTTTTCTTTTATGAGATAATACTTTCGTTCGCTTGCATTGTATGTAAATCCGATGGTAACCCAAACATCCGTGGCAAGAATATCAGGATGTTCATCACATAACTAGTGGAAATGATACATAATAATAAGTCAATAATTATTTAAACAATTCAATAAACATGGTGCATAAGTAAATAGTTTACCTCGGCATAATATAAATCGTGTGTCTCATCTGTTATTTCAAGTGGAATCAATTTAACATTCCGATCAACAGGTAGACCATAATGCAAGTATTCACTTCCATCCCCATAATCAACAATACAATCGAATGGAATCCATTCCAAGTAGGCGTCATTTGGTGAGTTTGTTTGTAGTTGAGATTTCTTAATAAAGTCATCGAGTTGGTGATTGTTGCTAGTCCACCCATCGGATAATTGTTTATAACCACAAATGCACCACACGGGACTACATCGGAGTATTCCACATGTGGGGCAGAAGCCATATCGAGAATAACAATAGTACACGTAAAAGCGCCGATGAGCAACCATGTAATAGTTATCGTCATTAGACTTGGTAAATCCAATAATGAGGTAGTTGCGGCGAGTAAGCCAGGTGGAATATCGTCTATACTGACTGACATCATTATTGTACTTGTGTGTTGGAAGTGAGTATATTCTAGCAAACTCACTCACAAGTGTTGGTGTACATTCTTCATCTCTTCCAAGTAACAGCAACATAACTTCATACTCGTGAATAGCGAAGTAGACGTTGCCAATTTGAGTGGGCTTTACGTTGGTAATTTCCTCGAATGGAATCCATTCAAGTTTATTGTCTTCATTCACATAACAGGATTGGATCAAGTTGCCAATGGCGGGATTATTAACAGTCTCTGATGCTAACGACATGGTAATAGTTTGAATTAGAAAATTCTTTTCCACAAATGCTGTAATGTTAATTCACAACATTTGTGTTACATTACACATCAGGAAATGGAAACATTGGCACATGTGATATCTCTGTCGGAACACGTCTTTTTCTCGTATCAACACATGTTTACAACAGGCAAGTCGTTTGGGTGATGGAACAGACCGATTTGCGGGAAACATACTGGTAAGTTATAAAATTATCGAAAGGAACACATTCACGAACGTTGAATGCATACAAGTTTTTATTGGAAAGAAAATTTTACGCACATATATAAATATCAGATCATGCACATACCTAAACAAATCTGACGTAAATGTCTATGCATATTGATATTTATCTACCAAGCTCTCCCAATTTGCTACCAGTTGATTCAATATATGTATATACTGTATATTCACCATTGTCAGGGGTTTATTCAATATGAGTGCGGGGATTTGCATTGCTGATAGCAAACGGGGTTTGTCATCTTTTACTTGTTGTGGGTGTTGACTTTGGGCGGCCTCGTTAGTTGTGGTGGTGATGTATTCGGGCTCGCTAGCCGTACAAGAAGTAGAAGACGAAATAATATTGGTATCATCATTGTTTTATTTCTGGGAAGTTTAGAATCATTCATAAGATCAGGAGAGGAAGAGATGGATGAAGTAAGAGTTGGTAAAGTAAGAGTAGATAATAGATGCGAGAGTCGTTTGGTGATTAATGGGGAAGGAGAGAAGGAGGAGGTAACTGATTGTTAATTTCTTGAATGGTGTTTTGGAAGTGAGAAGCAGTATTAGATTTTAATGGAGAGTGTTTGGTGATAAAACAGTCATGTGATAGAGAATATTTATATCAATCGCTGGTTAATTTGCTGACGGCGTTTATAAGTCTTGTATCTTCTTCTCGCACTATAATATTCACCAATTGATCTACCCTTTTGCAGGTAGCTATTAAACACCATGCTTATGGTTGGTGCCATCTCGTTGGTATAGATATAGAATCCGAACTTTAACTACGCCTACACATGACCAGTTCAGTTGATGTCTTCATATCTGCTGCTGAATCAAATCATATCTACTTCTCGAGGTAAGAGCGTGCTAGAACACTTACTTTCTTTTTCGAGACTGACAAGAGTTTTACACATCCATGCGCTACTAACAGAATCACCCTTTTCTGCCTCTTCAACAGGCTTGTAAATATCATTCCTAAAGTCTCTATGCATCTGGATGCTTATCAGAATCTGCGTCACGACACTGCTTGGCAAGTTTCCTGTATCCCTCTGGTGCGGGATTAGGCATATGGTCGTTGTCTGCCGCTGCATACTAAGTCTCTATTGAACTGCCGTCTCTGTTTTGAGATGTGTTTTGAGTGCATAAATATTCTCTGGGTATTGTATTGTGCATCTCGCCGAAGTACATACCTGTTGAATCAGGATACTGTGTGTGAATTGGAAGTGGGGCGACGAGATGGGGTAAGAGTGTAAGAATTAGAATTGACAAATAAAGAAGAAGAAAAGAATTAGTTGACATAGTGAAAGTGGTAAGGAGTTTTGCTTTTTAAAATAATATAGCCATAGACGTTTTAAGCGATCCCCGACTCCCAATATGAACAAAAAATAATTAATTTTTTTCAATTTTTTTTTAATATGTTGTACGACCACATAAACTATATTATTTTTTATCCGCATAATCGGAACGCGAGTTTCCTTATTATCAACAACAACAACTGCCGTTTGTTATTCGTTTGAAGATACTCACCAGCTGATCTACCCTTGTCACAGCGTTGGTATTCATGATACGTTGCCTGGAAGAATCGTACGTTGGAGAGTGTTGAGAGGAAATGTCATTTTTACTGTGGTTGTTATAGTTGTTATTGGATAAATGGGATTCTGAGGTCTTACTTCGTGGGCGTTGATATAAAGGGTTTTGTTCTCATACTGTATATCAGCTAAGTTGAACAAAATTGCCGACGTTAAAATCTTGCCGGCCGATAGTTTCTATGAGCAATGCTTGAAAGTATTTGTGCGTAATGTTTTGAAAATACTCGGGCTCGTATTGGTGCACCCCTTGAATGAATTTGTTGTTGACAATTTCTTTGGAATTGTCTATAACAGAGACTGTGGTCCGCGTTTGGCATTTTTTTCGTTGATTGCACATATGATCTTTCTCGTGGGCACAATTTATAACATATTCTCATTAATATTATTAACATCTTTCGATAAGCAACACATAACACAAGCTTCCGTTTATGCATCATAAGTATACAAGCCTGTTATGCTACAATAGAATAGATCAGTAATTCAACTGTAAAAAGAAATAACCGATAAATTGTTTTTTTTTTGCGTTGTATTCACAATATTCCCGCCATGGAAGAATCGTACGTTGGAGAGTTTTTGGGTTGATGGAGGGAGGAAGGGTAAATGGGATTGCTCTGCAGGTTAGTAATAAAAATAAAAGCGGATATTTGCGATATGATCGAACACATTACATCATAATCACTATCTGAAGATTATGAACAAGACGGCATGACAGTTAACAAATAACAGTTAGATTTGGAAATTAACTTTAAGCTGTGCGGCAAGGAAGCGAAACGTATTTCAATAAGCAGAATAGGAAGTTAATCATGTAATATACAGTATTTATATTTATTATTTTTAGAGATTACGTCGAAGCAAATAATGATGAATCAAATTACGTTTTTGATCAAAAGTTACGCATTATGTGTGTGTTATAATTGACTAAGTTATATGATAAATAGCTAAGGACATGGTAAATAGCAGCGGACATCAAGGACAATCACAATCATACACGTTATTGTTCCGTAATATAATAGCAAAAGGAATATCAAGACAGAGCAACATACACAAAATTTTTTTATAAAAAGGAATACAGTATGGAGGCGAAAAAATGTGAGACGGTGCAGTTCTAGTACCAATGTACGAAAAAATAAACAGAGTTTAGTTTTTACAGGAAAAAAGGATATTGTCAGCACTGTCCGATTAAAAGTATAAGAGTGCTAATCAGACTCACATGACGTGCGAACTTTTAGCGCGTCAGCTGTAAGTTATAACGTCCTTTGACTAATACACAATATCTAAACCGATTTCTACAAGACACGCTCCGCAAATGCACTCATCTCTTTGTTTCAGAACATGAATTTGCAAATTATATTTCCGTCAGCGGATACTAGCGAGACGGATCCTGATCAAGAAATTTTGGTTAATGTAGAAAAAAATTCCGAAAAAATAAAAGAGCTGTTGATTGTAGTCCTTACATTAATAATGATGCCAAATACGGATACATAATATTAGACAACGTCTCGAGTATCTCGTCACAAATGTCTCTAGAATCCAACATAGTATAGCATAATTAACATGAATCTTGTACTCGTATGAGCGATGAGTTGATTATTTTTTCGGAATCTCATACGTTTAATGCATTAATATTAATTAACCAATTTCCTTGATTCATAACACATTCACGAATAGGTTTACAGAGACGCCTTCGATAAGGAAAAAATACCGAGTAAGAGAAAATGATTTGTTTTTACGAATAAAGTCATCTTTAGCGTCAAGCAAATGAAGGCACATACAGTATTTATTCGTATATGATATAAATTACTGTGTAAGTAATTATCCGAAAGTTTGTTGGTGTTTACTTAAACTGGCAATCGAGTAAAAAGATTGCCGGAGAAACTTAAATAACAAGCCAACTACTACTAGCATAGTGCTTGTAGTTGAAGAGAGTGAGGATAAACATAGCTATAATATGATGTGGGATGGGACTTGCTATTTGGAATAATAAATGGTGGGTGACCAAAATATAATTTTATCTCATGCTGCGATTTCATCTTCGTCAGAGTAGCAAATTTAACACATTACAAAACGAGACTGACAAAGATAGTATACGGACAGTAGGGATTTTCAAAAATAAAGTTTTTTTTTCCTATTTTACGCGAGTGGTCGGTGTGTTATTTCACTATTGTAGGTTACGTATAGTGATAGATTCATTACCCAAATCATTGATTGTAATTAAAACGAAAGTAATGAGCATCCTAATTATGTATTTCCTTATGGAGGCACAACTATGTCTGACGGATGGATGTACGGGAGGAGAAATGAAATCATTTTCTGAAACATGGGTTGCTTGGGACCAGACGGTAGGAGATGTTTGGGAATTATGCGCGGGAAGCAATAAAATGATAAGCGGATAGGTAAAGATTATTTTGTTGCAGCCAGTCGCAAGCATAACGCGAGATGGATGACACCAACAATCGTTAGGAGAGGACAAATCAGCATTTTGCAGAAATGCCAATAATGCCTGAATAGAGTAGAGTGAAAATGTTCTTCTGTTTTTGGAATAACCCATTTGACCGACAAGCGATCGATATTCCATAAAAAAAATTTGCACCAGTAGAACGACTTAAACTGGTATGTAAGTAAATAGGAGAAAGATATTTTCTTTTTAAATATGGTACGTCATGATACATTGAGGTATTGAAGCAAGTGTTAAACATATTCGATTATTAGGATTTAATTTGCATCCGTCGCAAATTGCAATTTTTGCCGAGTCGCGTGGAGTAGTAGTAATATTTATTTGAAGACATTTGCAGAGGATAAGTAGCGTCATTATTTCTGGTTATCCATTTTGCAGATTGCGGGTATAATAAGCGTGAACAATAAGAACAGGGAACGCATGGAAATTGAGCGTAATCCTCTTCATAAAGTAAGCATAATACTTTTGTAGTTCATCGGAAGGACGCCAATATGTGGTGTTTGAAGAATCATAAGTCTGGAAAAGTGGCATTTTACATGATAGAATGGGAGGTAAAGACGACATAAATTGATGGTCATTAATAGACCATAAATTAGTAACGTTATAAAAACCATTTTGTTTTCTTGAAGAGAATCGACGGTAAATATATCGAGGACTTGAGACATTATTTTCTTCAAACTGATAGATAGATTATTGTTTATTATTATTTACTAGGAGAATAGTGTAATGGATTGTACCGGTATGTTATACTTTATATTTTATGCAAAATGGGGAAGATATACTGTATATATGGTTTTACTTATGTGAGATTTCTTTCACACGATTAATTTTAAATGAGAACTGTGCGACAAAGACATCGGGAATGTATGACAAACGATGACGATAGAAAATGACTGATTATGACATGTACAAATAAAAAAATAAGAAACGAAATAAGATGAGGATAAAATGTATAAATATATTTTTTCAGGCTTGGGTGGTATAGTCAAGTATCGAGTATATAGATATAAAAGATCTACACAAAAAATTACGAGTTGGTTAATGTGAAAAATAATTTAGAAAGTGAATATCATGAAGAACAAATGATTATCAAGAACATGTCATAAACGATAAGTTCGTACGAAATGTTGGCGATGGAAATGTACTTTGTTAAAAAAAAAAGTGCCTGGTGCAATTACTTCCCCAATAGCTTATTTTCCGACAAATATTCCCAATAAATATTTCGCGGAATTAGAGCCACAATATCGCGTATTAGTATCACCAAAACGCGGTTTACCAGTAACAATAAAATACATAATGATATTAAAATAATACACGTCTGATTTCTGAGTATATAAAAGACTTCTGGTGCAATAAAAGGGCAAATGCATTGAATATTTAGATTTGAAACGCAAATTATAAAGAAATTGTATCTTAGCCTTATTGTTATTTTTCTGTAAAACAATGTTTCCGCAAATGGCGCTGCGGGCTCGGTAATTATTCTCTATTTCTGCAAAGTTAGGAACGAAAGGCTTCATAAAGTTTTTACCGGCGCTCAATTTTTCTAATACTAACTGAAGAAACAATTTCACAATGCACTAATCTTCTAGAATGGATATTCCGCAGAGACAACGCTATAACCATCAAATACTCTAGTTGCACGTTTCACCGCTCACGTTAATTGCTGATATTTTGATCCAAATAAAATAAAAGACTACCATATCGATATTTGTGTCTCTCCATAAATATAAAGGAAAAACTATTATTTTGATAATGCTACCAAAATTGCTTACTTTGGAAATAAATATTCATCAAAATTCTTAAACCGCTTAAATACGACAGTTTGTGGCATATCATCTTCGAATAATTTTATATTTGGCAGTATAGACAGTTGTATAACATCCAGAACCAATCTCATGGAGTTTGCAAAGCCGCTATACCGCATGTACTTTGCATATCTATGCTTCTATTCAATAGTGCATATGTCGCAAATAAAATTCCTGAGAACATTGCTCCTGAGTGATTCCGAGTAGCCAATATTCTGGGTGTTAATACATCTGGCTATTCTTCAGTCAGCTATTTGAGTAAAAATAACATATGCAGTTATTATTATTACAACACTGGTCGTGCGACACGCACTCGTCGATTTCATTGTTTATCACCTTCTCAGCCTTCAAGTCCAAAACCCAGAAAATCGAGAATATTATGGCTGATAAAGTTCACGTGCGTTGATCACATAAAAAACTGATCAGATTTATATTTCACACTTTCTCCGTCATGCGTACTCAAAATGTCTGAAAACGAAGAACTTGCGACAATACTCCCTTCCGATTATAAACTAGACTATGATAAACTTGAAATAACGCTTGTTGATTGTGCGTCTGCTACTTCGAGGAACTTGCGACAATACTCCCTTCCTATTATAAACTGGACCTAGCCGATAATAAATTTTCAATAGTGCCTGTTAGCGCCCAAACTAGTATGTTATTTTTGATACTATAAGTTGGAATGTCAACAAACTGTTCTTTCAGTGCTAGATTATGGTAAAAAATTTAGGTCAAAGACAAGCTTATCTTATATGTGAAGTTACCAGTTGGTGCAAAAATAATCCTAACTTGGTTGGACAATTTGGAAGTAGTCAGGTATGTTTTGCAAATTATTTGTGACCTTTTTCTTCATTCTAATTATCATGTTTTTAAACTGTAGACAGGTTTTTCTTACCGTTACCTACTGCGACTGTTCTATGTCCGGATACTTCCGTTGTTCTAGCAAGGTTTCCGATCATTATAAATGGTTTACATGTCTGCGTCATTCTTAACTTTTTTATTATTGCAGTTGGAATAGATTATCGCAAAACGATAAAAACGAGGCGTATCCGCCGGTCGCTCCAAATTTTATTGCAGAAATACGTTCAAATATGGTTACTGCGGAAGCTGTTCACCGAAAAATGTGTCTGTATATGGATGCAGGTGTTGAGGTATTAACGATGATGATGATTGTTCTTCGTTAATAATAATTGTTATTCGTTGATTATATTTATTATTAATTATTAAATGTTTTATTTATCTAGGAGGCTTTCTCTATCGATCCAATTAATGGAACTGCAAGGATCTATAGAGTTCAACGCAATAATATCACTTGGTTGGAGTACACAAATCCACTTAGCTTGAAATCACGTGTTCTTAATGGATTCGTGCTAAACTTACAAGGAATTCTCTAATGATTACGATTCAAAAACAAATTGAACCTTGCTAATATGTATTTTCCAATTTTAATCAATCGCAACAGAAATCTATTCTTGATTCAAAGTATCAGCATCCATCTGATTGTTGAACCACAGCTTTAATAAATTAAAAGCGACTGATTACGTTTATTAAGCCATTCATGGCCATGAAAGGCTCCATAGAAACTTATTGCCAGTTCAACCATTGCATCGATACATTGTCTATTGGTTATCAATCGCGTGTGCTACTCTCATGCTAAAATTCGTTTCTCTACGTCGTTCGTCGTCTAGTTTTATTCTTAATTAACCTTCTCTAGCCATTTTGTTCCGTTTACTGATTTTCTAAATGTCGTTTGTTGTATTCATACCATTAGTTTCGTTATCTCGGATGACATTCCTGCTGCGTATGCAAACTGTAAACGTTTTTCAGCCTCTTCAAGTTCGACCAATAGATCAGATGAACTATTCCTTCAAAATCGGAGCAAATTTTTTTGTTTCTCGAGTAAAAGCCTATAAGTGTTTATAGAATTGTTACATTTTTAGCCACAAACGTAAAAAATCCGCTCTCAAAATTAAACTATACTACACGCATGGCTTATCCGCAGTAAATTTCCACACCCTCACTAGTCGTTACACATTACCCCTAATTGAAAATTTTTTTACTCCGAAATGTCTTGTTTTTATTTATAGAAACCAATCATGGCAATTAATCAAGACAATTGCAATATCATGTTATTATCTCCTGACTGATAATAGTTTTACCCCGAAACGTTTCACTGTAAAACTTGACCATTACGACAAAGGTTTTAGGCAAAAAAAAACAAGCCGAGGAAACAATGAAAGGAGTCAACCAGGTTTATGAGGGTTTAAGTAACCCGGAAAAGCGTCAGAATTATAATCGCTAAAGAACGAGTTTCTATATGTACGGCTTATTATAATCAGTAGCATTACGTCATACTGTTATATTATATGGTTGAGTTTGACAGCTGCAGATTCTCACACCCCTTACTGCATAGATAACAACATTTATACTTATACGGTTATCAAGTAGTACAAACATATGTCATCTTCCGTCATCTAAGAACACGCGTCTACATATATATACCCAGACGCTTCTATCGCTTCACTACAACTTCTTTGTCTTCAAACAACATACAACCCACCACTTTATATTATACACATACGTCATGAACGGTTATCAACAAACAAGAGTCCTCTATCATTACTCCAATACGAGACGCGAACGAGAACGATAACAGTTCGATATGCACAAGTCCGGTGACAACGACTCACACCGACGCGAGGGTGTTTTAAAGGTAAGAATTCTTACTGGGTAGATTAGTTGAGGGTCTGTATCCGAAGGCACGCTGCCACTAGGTGTAAAAGCCGGATGTTCGATAGCTCTCCGTGGCCACACTTGTAGGTTGTTTGTCGTGAGGGTGACTACTTAGTATGTGTGTATCTGAAGGGACGCTGCCACGATAGGTGTAAATCGAGTTTTTGAAGGCACGCGGAGTGCAATTATTCGAAAACCGTTACTGAAACTGGTGAATAGGATCACACGAAAAGTAGTTGGGTGCCTGATCGATGGATGATTTACTTTTGTGAACGTTCGATATCCGCTCCGAAGGGTCGTCTGAGCTCACGGCGCGTTCAGGCGGCTGTGGTGAATAGGATACATGGGACGTTGTTGAGAAGCCATCGCAAGTGTGTCATCCGGTTCGTGAGATCGGATGGTTGCCGCTTGACCATGCGTCTTCCTTCATGAGGTCCGTGATTTTGATGATACTGTTTACTCATTCTTGGTAATATTTTATCCAAGTAGGTTTTTTAAATCGAGCTTTGCAATGCAAAAAAATCCACACCAACATGAGGGTGTTTCGAGGTAAGAATTCTTACTGGGTGAAACTGTTGAGAGTCCGTATCCGAAGTGCGCTGACACTAGGTAGACATGAGACTTATGAGTAGATAATCTGAATCGCAATTGAAGTTTAATTTCGAAGTTTTTTGTATACCATACAGTATTAGTGGTATCTAATAATGCGTGTTTAATTATAATATACAATTGATTCATCAACAAATAGGAGTTTAAAGAAACGAATCGAGATATGTACCCCACATCCGTACGATGTACCCCCTCACACACACGGGTACTAAAACGAACAAGGGGAATACCCGGGGTACTCGTGTCGGTGAAATACGGTAGCTCTTGCTCCTTGTTGTAATCTGATGGAAGGTGGTAAATTGGTTTTTAATTTAAATTTAGATAAGAATTTTTCATTTGATATCTGAATTCCATCTATGAGAAACTTCTCATCTTTCATTGGTAAGACGTTGCATATTGTTCTATTGACTTGGTCTGTGTTTCACGTAGTCCGACAATAAAAGTTGATGTCAGCATGGAATCTATGGTTTGTGTTCATCAGCTTTTTTGTAATCAAATCTCATGAGTGTGAGGAAATCTGACCAAGTCTAATTTCTTCCAAGAGTTTGTAAAATCGAAGATCATTTTCTTGTCGTAAAAATATAGGATAAAAAATGTGCCAAACAGATGAATGGAATACTGATGTTGCACGTATCGGTGGTAGTTGGGCAAGATGGTCTACTAGAATGACATTCTTACCACCAAATGCAATATCATTGGAATGTAGACGTATAAATAAACTTGAGAGAAAAGTAAACAACGATGCTGATACCATGGATATTTCATCAATAATTATCGTGCCGATTTTAAGTAATGATGTTCGGAGTTGATTATCATAAAATATAAGCGTGTGAAATTCTGATGACGTTTGTGTCAATCTGAGAGCAGAATGAATTGTTGATCTTACGCTGCTACTCCAGTTGGAGCTAATTAATAATAAGTAGTTGTGGGAATTTAGCCAGTTCGTCAAAAGTTTTATCGTATAATTTTTCCAGTTTTTGCAGAGCCAGTTATAAAAAAATAAGGTATTTCTTTTTTTGTATTGGACCGAGATTAGTTGTAATCTTATTCATTATAGTATACTGTTCTTCGGAAAGATCAAACGTTATCATTTGGGAAAGTATTGGCGGAGTAAGTTTTAGCGCGCGTCTAATTGTTTTGTGAGAATTTTGGCAATGTTGGTGATATGGTTTGTTGAAGATCATTTAGCAAAGTAGTCATAATTTGTCCAACTTGAGTATTAATCGAGCGGTAAAATCGGTCGTTGTTGGTGTTCAACTCTTTCAAAAAAAAATTGCTCAAGTTCTCCCCATCTACAATTTTCCTGTTTTGACCAAATATGGTGTTTTACAACTTGCTTCAAGAAAATAAAGTTAAAAGTATAATGCAGTACGAAGAGGTCGATTTGTTGGAAGTGTATCACCATTATCTGTACTTTCAGGTATTCTTTTAAATGTGTCCACTTACTTTCAGCCATTGTTAGTGTAATGAAAAGTGTAGGCAGACCAAATTCATTAGTCATGGCATTTACATGTAGTAGTTTTTTATGAAAATATGAATCATCAGTGCGTATAATGTACGTAAAGTAATTGTCTTATTTTTATCAATTTTTCTTTTACCATTATAAACACTTTGTGTTATGAGTTCTGCTGCTGTTGGTCGTTGACAAATATTATCTGTTTGCTTTTGTCTCCAAAGACGGGCTGTATTTTGATAATTTCGTAATTTCTCACGTTGCATATATGACCATGAGGGCCAATAAGGATGTAAACAAAACGTCGATCAACACACAATAGTCTATGTTTGATATATTTCACTATTCTATTCCATCATCAGTAGGCAATTTCATAAGTTCATGATAATGCTCTTTACCATCTGGAAACAAATCAGGAAACAATAATGGTTCTAATTCAGAATTACAAAATGAAAGTGAAGAGTGGTACCATTAGAAGTTTTCACAAATCTTGCCATGAGATGTGTATAATGATAATCATCATTATGAATTTCTGTGGAAAAATCTCCATTTGACACAACTAAATCTCTTTCTTTGAAATGGAGGTGCTCTTAGATCATTTGGATTGTGGTATGCTGTTGGGAATATTTGAGAATTTATGGAAAGTGATGACATGTATTGGACTAATGGCTTAATATAACAATTATGTTTACTAAGCCATTCAGCAGCTGCCAAGAGGTTTGGAGTAAGCCAGGGTTCTTCTTCATTTCTAGATAGAAATGCACCAATGACTCCAGAATAAAGTTTTAACGCGCGCATATTTCGGGAAAATTTACATCTCCAATAAGATGACGATGGATTACTGTCTGAGCTTCTTCCAAAAGAACAATGCAAGAAGATCAGAGAAAGAAATCTCCTTTGCGTTAAAGAAATGATCTCAATTTCTGAAGGTATAGAGTGTAACTGTGGACATAAATAATTTTCTGGTTTTTTTATACAACCGGGACAAACAGACACTTTCGTATTTGTTGCATTCCCAGATCAATTTCAGGAAAATTAATTTGTAAGGTATAAGTGTTGCTTTCACCGTAAGGACTCCATTTGGCCTTTTTAGGATAAAGTAGCCTGGCGCAAAATACACAAGGCACGCAAATATGTTGGTAAAGAATACTATTTTGAAATCGTGTGTGATATGGGAAATGTGTGTGTCGACATTGTATAAAATTTTGTTAAACAAATTACAGAACGCTAAGATTGCGCGTTTTGCTAGTAAACAGTTTATTTAAATAAAATCCGAAGACGGGCATATCATTTATAAATAAGAAATGAAAAACGCTAAAACTTAAATAAGCAATACGTAACGTGTTACAACTCTCTTAAGTACTCAGTTTTGTTTATATTAATGTTATTAATGTTAATTATCTCAACGAAACTTTTATGTATCAAAAAATGTTTTGTAAACGTTCTCTCATTTATCGGGAATCGCCATATTTTACGCTCAATTTTATCACATCCAAATGACAAAAAAAAGTTTGATCAAATTTGTAATAACAATTTTCAAACAAAAAATAAAAAACAAACAAAACAAAGCAGAAAACATAACTACTTTATAAATATAGACTAACAAGGCAAGGGTACTTATTACTGCTTTTTTTTTTGGTTGTCCCCTTTTTGGTCGTGGTGCGTCCTCGTCACTATTTGCCTTCTTTTTCACTTCCGATGATTCCTTCTCTTACTGTCTTTTCGTCATTGTCTCCATGAACACCAATAGTTGCTTTTCCCCTTTTTTGTTTAATCATTTCGCGAGCAATATTGTCAACTTTCGCTGGCATCCCTTTCTCTATTATTGCTATTTCGCTTTTGGCATTAGTCGATGTTGGCGGCTGGTTCTGTATTGCCGCTATTATTCTGTTCTCCACCGCCGCTTTTTTTTTTTTCTTGTCATTTTTATTCGTCAATGACCATGGTACACTTGATGACTCTGACTTTGGATTTACGAACTGCATTTCTATTACATCACAATATAACTTGTTTTCGATAACAAACAATTCTGCACTGAATTGGATTGTAGATATTTCTTCGCAGCGGTAAACGTATTTTTCAGACGGCCTTTTAAAGGATGTGTCAACACTACATAGACTGGTCCACACATTTCTGCCGTCAAATATGGTTTTATTTCCATCGTCATCTGATAACCGGAGTCTGCATCTTTAACCCGGCCTAGCAGGTAAACGATCGGTTTGCAGACCGGAATTTTTTCTTTATCAATAGTAAACTCTTACAAGAAGACACAGCCAGTTCCAATCTAAACTTCCCCGTAATAAAATACACAGAGTCTTGGTTGAGTTTGTGAATATACATGTTCTCAATATCGTTATCATCCAATTTAGCGCTATCTATAAGGGTAACCATAATGTGTATTGGAAATTAAGGAAGTCACCATCAGTATCAATCTTCCAAGCAGCGGACCTGTTTGCAGTATTTTAATAGAGAAATATTGTTCGCTGATTGATATGATGTGCAGAATGGTTGAAATGATAATAAATTGATTGAGTCCTACGAAAAGCGATACTATTTATATTATTAGACTAATATAATTATTATAGTTTTATAACATCTTGTTGATATCTGTACTATACGAAGTAAATATTTGCGAGCAAAAGTCTAACTATCCAATTCCCTAAATGGTTTCGCAATATGTTTATCATTAGCGTGTAATTAATTTAAAGCGACTAATTATTGTCTATGTTGTATGTCAGATCGGAATTTATGTCAGATCAGAATTTTATGTCGCTTCCAAACTGACATACGACAATATATTA